GGCTTTTTTCTTTTTGCTTATGTGGTGCTGAGGAATTGAACCCAGGGCCTCAGGCATGCAAGGCAAGCGCTCTACCACTGAGCCACCTTCCCAGCCCCTTGATAATGTATTTTAAATACCACCAAAGCATTTCTCACTCAGTACTGTCTTGAGCTAGCATTCTTTTTTAAAATTATTATTTCTGAGAGATTCTTTCTGTGTTTGTTAAGTTCACAATCTCTATTTTGTTTCTCATGTTTCCCATGGCAAGCCCTCCTGCATTACATTTTTTGTGCATATACATTTATAATGATTCGGCTTTCAGTTCATGATTCAGAGGCATAAAGTATAAGTTCAGATTTAGTCATCTGATATAATATTGATCAGTTTCTCTATCTTAGGTTCATGCAAAATTGCTAGCCTTTGTAGGACGTTTCAAATGGTATATACATGTTAAGGTTGTACTTCTAACTAAGCAAATTTAAATTCTGTAGCAACTTAGGAAATACTACTGTGCTTTATTAAAAACCATTTCATGTGTCTAGTCTTTTGCCTTTCATCAAATTATCAAATTATCTTCTAATTTATTTAGAGGGAAAGTAATCATAAATTATAATTCTGAAAGGGAATGTGTCTGAGCTTTGGCTACTTCACCACATAAGTCTTCTCTAGGATTTTGCAATTAAATATTTTAAATTAAGATACTTTTGTTAGAAGTGTTTAAAAAACATCTTGGTCAATGTAAGTAGAATTGTGCTTTGAAGAAAGATTGATGGGGGAAATGACTAACTACATGATTGTATTTAAATATTTATACTGTCAAATTGAAATTAAGGTGTTTTTGAGGCATATTGGTCTAGGCTTCTATTATCATGGAGTCCTCAGTGTCCTTTACATGGTTTCTGATACTGGCAAGTAATCAGGAAATACCTATAAGAGAACTACATGGAATCTTGCAATTACTGAGCTGTTGATCATCCAGTTATTATTTAAGAAAAGCTTAGTTTAAAACTTAAAGCATTATGTTAACCGTATAACTGAAAAGTAAGTTTTACTTTAGATACAGAAAAGGAGATAAAGACAGATTAGGTGAAACATACAAGATATTTTATTTTAGACTATATTATTAGAGACAAAATATCAAAGTAAGTTTTAAATTACGCTTGACATTTAAAATTACTAAGTGAAACCCGACCTTTCAAGCCATCCTAGTTTTAAGGACATTAAAGATTCTCTGGCATTCCTGGTAATACCTCTTCTATGAAGACTGCATGATTTGAACTCTTCTCTCAAAGACTGGCCATCATCCGTGCTGAATACACCTTTCTCATGTTTTGTTTGGCCTATTTATTTGGAATTTTCATCTTGGTGACCTTTTGACTTTAATCAAAGGTCACTTTCTTTTTGGAAACTTTATTCCTACCTTGGAGTTTAAAATCAGATATATTGCTCTGTGACTGCAACTTCCATTTTGGAAACTGATGGCATTTGTCAAGAAATTTCTTCAACTACCCTGCAGTCTTGTGTTCTGCAGCTATGCTTTCCTTAGTGAGGATTGGGTCAGTTTCAGGGAGAAAGTTCATCTTTGGTGAATATATTGCTCATCCCAAATGACTATTATACCATAGATCTTTGTCACATAATATGGTTCCAAGGAGACATTGAGTAAAAAATTAATGCTTTTAATGCATAGAGCTCAGTACCTACTGCAGATGATTCATTCATATTTTTCTATGCCACTAGTTTCTGCTAAAGACATGCTACCTTTCAACAGATTTAAAAATTATACTTTATCGCTTAAATTAACTTTATTATTTGATCTTGATTCCATTTTTACTTTGCTTTTTGGGCAGCATTTGCTTTTAGGAAGATGTTTTCACAAAATTAAGAGCAAGGAAACACTAAACAGATTACACACTTTAAATATAGTTGATGATAAAGTAGGCCTGACTAGAGCTTCTCTGTATCATCTGAGCTTTATAATTACACTGTAATTAATTTGTCTGCTTATTTACTCAGTCAAAACTGCCTATAATAAATGCTATGAATAAGGTGGGCTGACTAAAAATTAGAGTTCTTTCTTTTTGTTTTTTCTTGGTGGTACTGGAATTTGAACTCAAGGTCCTCAGCCAAGCCAGTCAAGTCTTCTGCCAGTTGAGCCACCTCACTTTTAGGTTTAGAGATTCCTTTAAGTTACCTTTTACTTTTAAGGGATATTATTATAGTGTTTTATTTTTAATACATCAGAACAGCATAATTTTTTAAAAAAGCAAGTTTTTTTTAACATAATCAAGGTCAGATAGTTTAGTCTTGATTGAACTTTTATCATTACTTTTTTTGTTTTTTCGGGTCAGTCCTGGGGCTTGAACTTGGGGCCTGGACACTGTCCCTGAGCTTCTTTTACTCAAGGCTAGCTTTTTTTGTTTATGTGATACTGAGGGATTGAATCCAGGGCTTCATGCATGCTAGGCAAACACTCTAAGCTACATTCCCAGCCCTATCATTACTTTTTGATATGTGGAAAAACCCAAACTAATCTGTCACCTCATTTCATCTATTTTCTTTAACTTCTCAATATGAGCATGAATTCAGACTTTTTCTACAGTATAAATGTATCAAATATATAAATCAGCATTTTAGTTTAATTGCTTTTTACATTTTCAGAAAGAATGAGTGAATTTTTGATACTATGATGCTTGGAGTATATTTTCCTTTTTGCTTATAAGAAATCAGTGCTTTTAATCTGTATTGAGTTTTACTCTCAAGTAGCCAGGTTATTTAAACCTGTAAGTGAATTGCTGACAAAAGTAAGAATTTTTGAGGTGTTTTGAAATTTCTGGCCATTTGTTTACAACCTATATAATATGGTTCTGAGAACTGCAGCTTGCCATCTCCCTGTTTTCTTAACTGCATTATATATTTTTAAATATTCCATTATATTATACATCAGATCTCTCTGATCCACCTCTCCCCTATTTTTTCCCCTACACATATACACATATATTTAGTTCTTACAGTTTGCGTATTAAAAATTATTTGAAGCTTGGAAATTTAAATAAGTTTTAAGTGATTATTATATTTCTAAAGAGCACATCTATTTGTTTTATAGCTACTGGAAGGAAATTTTGCCAAAGAAGTCAGTCATGAAATGGATGGACTTATTTTTCAGCCTACTGGAGTAAGTTTATTTATCCTTTATGTGTGTGTATGTGTGTGTGTGTTTGTGTGTGTGTATATACATGCAAGCATACATGTGCTTATGCTTGTACCTGTTTGTACTGTGTACATATATTTGGAAAGTACCTTTTCCTCATACTTATTTACTACTGTTGTACTCCTTTCCTTTAAAATTGTTCAGTTTTGGAAGATTTTATTTATAGCTAAATATATATTTTTCTAAACACTTGTCTTATTTTTACTTAGTGAAAGAAGTAGGCATTATGCAATATCACTTTTCAAGAAATTCATTTTTTAAAAATGATTAATTTTGTTATAATTCTTGCAAAGTTAGTATCACTTTATATTATTTTACACTTTATATTATTTTACTACCAGTAACATTAAATGAATTACTTCCTTTGGTTGATGAGTATTAATATCTCTTAAAACTTTGTTTTGCTGTAGGGTAGGTAAAATTCAAGGAATTGTCAGATACTTGAAAATAAAAAAATTCTACCTTTGTTTTTTTTTTTTTACTGTTGGTACTGGGGTTTAAACCCAGGGCTTCATGTTTACTCTGTCTCCTTGCTCAACTTGTACTCTGCCATTTGAGTCACATCTCCCATCCTCCTTTTCTGCTGATTATTTTGGAGATGTAGCCTAGTGGACTTTAGTGCTTGGTTGGCTTTGGATCGGTTTTGCATTAAGATCCTACAGATTTTCTGAATAGCTAGGATGTAGGCATGAGCTAGTGGCATCCAGGAGAATTTAAAAACATTCTGTGTTGAATTTCTGACATGCCCTGGAGGACTTTCATCAACTTCATTATCATCATATATTTATAGGGGTAAGTTATATTTTACTGTATAGGCCTGAAAAATCTTTGCTCTGAGAGCTGGCTTACATAGCTGTTCAACAGCATCTTTGGTCTCTACTTACTAAATGCCAAGAAATTCCTCTCTTTGTTCCCATTTAATAACCCTGGTGCTCTGTATTGGCACATAGAGGAGAATTACTTCTACCTAGGAAATTGTCAGAAATATAACTCATTCCAGAAGTACTGATTAGGAATTCTGGGGAAAGTGTCTAGCAATCTGTGTTTCAACATGCTCTTGAAGAAATTTTTTTTGTCAGTCGTTGGGCTTGAACTCTGGGCCTGGGTGTTGTCCCTGAGTTCTTCAGCTCAAGGATAGTGCTCTATCACTTGAGCCACAGCATCACTTCTGTCCGTTTTTTTCTGGTGGTTTATTGGAGATAAGAGTTTCACAGACTTTCCTGCCCAGGCTGGCTTTGAAATGTAATTCTCAGATCTCAGATTCCGAATATCTAGGATTACAGATGTGAGCCACTGGTACCTGGATCTTCAAAGAAATTCTGATGAATGTTCAAGATGTTCCTATAGGAAAGAGTAGATTGTGTAGTACTATCTTTCATCATTTCTTCTTTTTTGCTTTCACTCATTGCCCTTAGATATATAGTCTGAGCTAGTTGAGAAGTAATACATAGAGTTGCTTAAGAAGTTTAATATACAGAAATTATATAGAAAGTGGCTAATTGGAGGAAAGGCATCTAATATTTTACAACTATTTTTAAGTAGTGGATTTTATTAGTTTGGATATATAGTAAAATTTCTAATACAAATTTTAATACCATGTAATTGACTTGTTTACTTCCCAGGCTCCATAGCCAAATAGAAGGGGGAAAAATCTTACCTTCCGTGCTTGAGATAGGAGATGAAGAGAGCTAGAAGCGGGGGACAGAAATAATTTGATAGAAAATCCCATTTTAGGAAGGTGGAAATTGGATTTTGATGTTCTCATATTTTCTAGGCTCACTCTTCCTAGAATTAAAGAAGTAAAATCTAAATATAACAGAAACAACAGAATATTTCAGTGTCTGAAACTTACAGTTTGGACTTGTGTACATATAAGGTTTTGGCTTATGTAATAGAAATGCCCTGACAAAGGGCATTTCAGAGATGCTGAATAATACCAGTTCATCTATTAATCTATTCCAAGAGTCATACTTTTTATTACAGTGATTTTGTAATTGACATCTGGTAAGACTGTAAACAAGGCAGTCCCTTGCCTTGTACTATTTAGGGGGTCAATAATTTTCTGTAGGAATTTGCTTTATTTCCATATATCTACAAAATCTATGGTCTTTCCTACAAGACCTATTTATTTTCAGTACTAAAGAAGAATAGGATGGAGGCTCTTTAATTCCATCAATACCTTTCACTCCTTTTCTCCATTGGTTTCTACTCACTAAATGCCAGGAAATGCTCCTCTTTATCCCCCACTTGATAATCACTAGTGTTCTGTATTCAATATTTGTTTTTATGGTAATAAAAATATTGTTTCCAAACCAGTCAGTGATTCTACTGTTAAGTTTTCTTTCTTTCTTTCTATTTTTTTTTTTTTTTTTTTGG